CCTCCAGCCAAAGAGGAAATGTCTCTAGATAAATACAATATTTTTTGTTTATTTTGAAATATGAGAGTACAAACATTTTGGTTGCATGTTATATATTTGCCTCTCCCTAACAAGGGTGAGAGGTATGCCCTTTCCCTCCACAATGCTTTTTAAGAACAGATTCTGTTGTTAGGCTGTATCACCCTCAAAGGAATAAAAAAAGAATCAGGAAGACGGCATTTGTTACTATTTACTAGCCAAAGCCTCAAGGTAGTTTTATAGAGATAATCATATACCAGAAATAGTACACAAATATGATTTTGGTGTTTTTTCTACAAGCTCATTGTGTCATTTTATTACTGAGTTGTTGTTTTTTCTAGTGGAGAGAAATGCTAACACTTTATATGAATAATAAATAAAAAGTGGTTTCTTGACATTTTACTGTTTCTTTAATTACATTTACATAAAATGATTTCCAAAGATAGGCAATGGTATTGCTCAACAGAAAATGATGACCTATGATCAAAATCCTGCCCCTTACTAATTTTCACATCTTTACCAATTTCATAACCAATGTGGAAGTAGCATAACTGAAAAGTGCTTGATCTAAATAGACTTTCCCATCTAAATCACTTTCCCCAACTGGATATTCTCTATCTCAGTTCCTAGTTCATTTCCTTCACTGCATTTCCCAATTTGAAATTATTTCTTTCTTCACATATTCATTGTGAACACCACATAGGCCATACATTTTCTATGGCAGGGAATTTTGTACACCTTGTGCCTACTAAGTATTACTGCTGAAGGAAGGAATGTGCAAGGGAAGAAGAGTACAAGGATGAATATATCTGATGGATCAGAAAAAAAGTCATAGTGTGGTCTCTAATAGCTATTAGTCTCTAAATGTACCAAGCAAAAGCAAAAGTAATGCTTTTGTTTATTTATTTTACTCCATCATTTTTTGTTGACCATTTAGTTCCAAATTATTCAGCATCTTTGCTCATTGTTCTATTATTACGGTAATTATCTACCACCTTTTGAATGGCACAGTACCAGGTACTTGCAAAAAGCTTTGCAACTATCTTGTACCTGTTTAATACAGGGAAAATGAGTAGCACAGAAATGAAGCCACAAGGTCACACAACGGGAAGTGGCAGAGCCAAGATTTAAATTTACTTTTGTCTGTTGCAAAGCTGTACTTGTTTTTTGTTTTGTTTGAGACAGAGTCTCACTCTGTTGCCCTGACTAGAGTGCTGTGGCATCAGCCTAGCTCACAGCAACCTCAAACTCCTGGGCTCAAGTGATCCTCCTCCCTCAGCCTCCCCAGTAGCTGGGACTACAGGTTCACACCACTACGCCCAGAAAATTTGCCCAGCTAATTTTTCTGTTTTTAGTGGAGATGAGGTCTCACTCTTGCTCAAGCTGGTCTGGAACTCCTGAGCTCAAGTGATCCTCCCATCTCGGCCTCCCAGAGTGCTAGGATTACAGGCGTGAGCCACAGCGCCCAGCCTCCTTTTCTCTGTATAATACCATTTAAATGTATTTATTCAATTTTCTCTGCACTGATTGTTGGTTTATTGCATGTTGATGCTTAAGAGTTTTGTTTTGTTATTTAATGTCTTTTGTATGTCTTACCAACTTGAAAATAAACTTGCCAAAGGAAGAAGATATAAACAGGAATCTCTGTCTCTTCCTCTCTCTCTCTTTACCTAATGTGTTATATATATACTCCTCTACATCTTGAAAAGAGTGATTTTATGTTCACATGCCTTATAGTTTATTCAACTTATATTTCTACAAATTTAGCCACCTTTTTCCTGGGGCAAATCCCCCAGATATTTTCTATTCTCTTGTAACTTCCACCTTTTTCCCTCTAAAGTAGAACTAACTCTAAATTATTTGCCTTAGTGTTTCAGAATTGTCTTACAAAGCACATAATACAAGTTTAACTTCATTTAAATCTTGAATAGTTATAATGCCATCATTATAACTATAATATTTTAAGATTTAAAAATTTTAACAGTGAAATATTTAAAATAACTATCTTTAAATGTTCAAATTTTGTTTGATACATTTGTTCCTTTTATTTCTTAGTATCTCAAAAATTATTTATAGCTTATTGGTTCCTCACTCTGTGTTTAAGTATGCTGTCAATTTTGCCTTTGTGACTCCTAAACCAGATTTTACCTTCAAATTCTTGGGTATCAGTTCCCCTTTAGCATCAACACATTGAACTGAAATTAGAATATGACTCATCATGTAAATCTAAAGAATTAACAAATTGGATCTTTTCCTTTCCTATTAGTTCAATATTCAAATAGCTAACTTTAAAGTATTTTCTTGATTTTTTTTCTTCTTAATCTATTATTGGATTCAAGTCATCTCTTTTAACATAAAATAGTCCTTTAAATGTATATTTCTCATGGAATTTTTTTTTTCATTTTTAAGTATCGGATGTTTTTACTAAATTACTAAAAACATAAAATATTTAACAAGCAAGACTTTCATGTTTTTTTTTTTTTTTTTTGAGACAGAGTCTCGCTTTGTTGCCCAGGCTAGAGTGAGTGCCGTGGCGTCAGCCTAGCTCACAGCACTCCTGCCTCAGCCTCCCGAGTAGCTGGGACTACAGGCACGCGCCACCATGCCCGGCTAATTTTATATATATATATTTGTTGGCCAATTAATTTCTTTCTATTTTTATAGTAGAGACAGGGTCTCGCTCAGGCTGGTTTTGAACTCCTGACCTTGAGCAATCCGCCTGCCTCGGCCTCCCAGAGTGCTAGGATTACAAGCGTGAGCCACCACGCCCGGCCAAGACTTTCATGTTTTATACAATTTAACTGACAGTGAGTCAGTTAAATTGGTTTAATTAGGTCAAATTTGCAATCCAAAATTCTAAAATGATATCCAGGGAAAGTGAAAACCTGAAAACCTGAAGCAAAGACTTTTCTTTAAAACCATTGTCAGTATTTCCCTATGAAATATTATAGCCTCCAATGAACTCCCAACATTTCCCACAAGTTAAAAATCTATAATTTATTACAAATAACTATGATAGAAAGGTTGTCTTTTACATATATAAAACTAAGAATTTGATTTTCTAAAGTATCTTCACCTAAAATTTTTTTCAAGTAATTAAAAAGTACAAAGACTATAAAATCCATTTATCTCAAAAGAGCAACCATTTCAGATATTTTAATTCAGATATTTACATAAGAGGATGTGTAGGACAAAAGACCAGCAGGTAAGGTAGACAGGAAGAACAATTTTTTAAAAATGGATTCATGCTACCTCCTGCTCTATTATTAATAAATACATGTGCCACATTAAATATAATTATAGTTGAATGAATCAAAGCATAAGAACTTTAAATGAAATTAACAAATTTACTAAAATTGAGATAAATGTTTCTTAACCCCCAAAATACAATAACTAATAAAATATCACTGATGACTTAAGAAAAGACTTACAAATTTAGAAGTTGGAACTATTACTTGCTATAAAAGCTGAGGAGGTGAGCATATTAATGTTTTCTCCTACTTCCTTCCACCAATTTGATTTTTTTCAGTTATATTATTGTTTTCATTGTTCATTTATACTGTTTCTATCTTATTCAGTAGCCATAATGCCCTTGGGTTTTTAATTTTTGTTCTGAATTTAAATTGATTAAAGACTTATCATCAGCTTTTTAGTTGGACTCCTTCTATACCAGAATCCTTTGGTCTTGATTCACTTCTTTGTAGGCTGAATTTTACTGCAGTTTTTGTTTTGTCTTATCTTGACAAGGTGAAGGGGTTACTCAGTATTTGTTTTTTACTTAAAAGAACAACAATTTATTTGTTCATAATTCTGTGGGTCGGCTAGGCATTTCTTCTCATCTGGGCTGGTTTAGCAGATCTCTGAGATCATCTGGCAGCTTTGCAGAGAGCTAGATAATCTAAGACAGCCTCATTCATATGTATGGCTTTGCAGGCTGGTTGGTCTAAGGGGCCTTAGCCAGCATAGCACATCCTTGCTCAATGTAATCTCTCACCCTCCAGTAGGCTGACCCAGAAATGTTCACAAGTGGTGGCCGCAGGATTCAAAAGAGTGAAATGAGAGAGAGGGCCCCAATACATGAGCATTTGTCAAGGCTTTGCTTACATTGTAGTTCTTTTTTTCTTATCTTTAATTGTCCTTTAATGAGGGCTTATACTATTTTACTTAACTTTGTACAAGCTTGAGAATGTTTGTGTATTTATATTTAAAAGACAACTTGCGTGGGTATAAAACTTTGGGTTATACTTTCTTGTCCTTAGAATTTTTAGACATCATTCTGTATGGTTTTGGCATTTAATGAACTCATGGGGACATTAACCTCATTTTTCTCCCTTCCATCTGACCTGGTATTCCTGCTGGGATACACACATAAACTTGTTCATTATCTTTAACCTTTACTAACATTACCATGACACAGAATGCCATTGAAATCAGATTTAAGCCTTTATTTCAGGAATTTGTCTTTCGCTTTTTTTTAAATTTAAGAATGCAATTTATAGGTATATTGGATTCCTTCTTTTCTTTCCACATCCATCACTCTCCCATAATGAATTTTGTTATTATATATTTAAATTTAATTTTGTGGAATTTTTTGAGGCTTTTCTCCATATTCCTAACTTTGTTTTGAGTCATGTTTGTTACACTTATTGTTGTTGCTTCTTATATCTTTGTCTATGTAAAACTTTTATGTTTCTCTCCCATTTTTCTTCTGATATATTTTACCTCTTCCATCTATTTTTCATTGAATCTCTACTTTCATTTCTATAGATATTTTTTCAGGGTTTTTGTTTGTTTGCCTATATCATATCTATTATAATTTTTCTGCTAATGAGTAATTTTTATTCTAATCTGCCTAAGTTTCTTTGGGAATTTCTCTTGTGATTTTTTTTCATATGGCTTGATTATGTTATTATTTCTTTAGTTTCTTTTCTAATTATTGCTCAAATTCTATGATTTGATGATGCAAATTGAAAGAAAACAGTCTGCAGTCTCTTTTTAGATTTTTTTTACTTCATTCCTATGAAGTTATCAAATTTCTTATTTCCTTTTCCTGGGCCACACCTCTCCATCTGGAGTCTGTGGCTAAAAATAAATCCTTTTTGGTCGCATTCTATGTTATGGTTCATACTCACTGTCTCTTCTTCTTCCTTCCTTCCTCCTCATCTCTGGTACTCTCTGGTTCTGAAACTTGGATCTAAGAAAGAGCTCTGTTATTCCAATATAGATTCTTCTTCAGCTACCTCTCCTGGAGGCTTCAAGGATTCAAACTTATTCCTATGGCCTTCTATTTTCATATATCTCTTCTGTCTGAGTCAGGGATCTTTTGACCTTTTAAAATTGTGACCCTTGTTTGGGGAGAATTATTTACCAGACTTTAACAAGTACTATGGCATTACAAGGAAAATAAGCACATGCATGCACTTGGGCAGAATCATATAAAATGCATATGATTTACAAATACATACTGTTTTTTAGAAAAGTTATTATTATAGTCCTAGCAACTAACATGTCTCATAATTACATGTAGGCAAATATATCTCCTTCCCATAGTAATCAGGATAATCTTTGGACAGTAACAGAAAATCCAACAATGTTTTAAAACTAAAAAGGGGTTATCATTTATCTTACTAAAAATAAAAAAAAAGTCAGGAGGTAGTGGCACCTAGTGTTGGATTTTAAAATTGACATAAGGCCTAAAATCTCACTGATTATTTTTGGCTTATCACCCTATAGTCCCAAGAAGGCTGCTGCCCTACAGGCATTAGCTCTGTGCTCAAGGCAAGAAGAAAAGGAAAGGGAGAACTAGTCACAATTTTCCTCTTTTAATAGGAAAACAGAAGCCTCCACTACCATTATCACCTCCAACAAATTTCTGCTCACATCTCAGCAGCTGCTAGAAATTTCTCATCACTATAGTACAGGCATGCAAGAGAGTTAGGAAGAGATGTTGATTCAGCCAATCAACAGTGTTTGCCATACCCCAGATGCAGAGAACTCCTCAACGGAAAGGATTAAGAGTATAGCCATTTTTATGTGCCCAGTACTTACCAGGTTTGACATATTTGTAGATACCAAATAAATATTTATTGAATTATAATCCTTTATGGCTAATATTATTTATTACTTCTCAATCTATAATTGAATTAAGATTTTCAAAAAGCATTTACCAGGGATATTGGACTATGTATTCTTATATTATTAAATTGAAATTAAGACTATAGTCATCAAATATATCGATATAGCATTTCATGTGACCAAAATTATATTAAAAGAATAAAATCTGTGCAATATAGAATAAGTTTGGAATAACAAAGAAAATGTGACTTTAGGTTTATGTTTTGGTTGTAAAATACCTTTCTGCTTTATTTTTCCTGTGTGATATTTTAATCCTTCCTCTAAAGGGCTCATTTATTCTGTTTTTTATAATACATTATTTCAGAGGTTACAAATAAAGTAGAATACACAATTGCTAATAAAATAATAGGAATTAAATTATAGAGTGCATTCAGGGTACCAGAAAGTGCTTTACAGTGCTGCACTGGATTTTATCATCAATATTTATGGAAACTTTTCATTCTATTTCATAATATATACATGTGGGTTATAATATAAACTAGTACTTTTTCCCCAAAATTGTCATCAAAATTCAAACCTGATGATGTACCAAGTTCATCCTAGGATTTATGAAACTTTAATAATAATGATGATAATGATGACAGCAAATATGTAGAGTGCTTATACGTGCCAGGTACTTATCTCAGCACTTTATATATATGAACTCATTTAATCCTTATAACAGCCCTATAGGTAGGTACTATCTTCATCCACACATACAGAAGAGGAGACTAAAGCGAAAATTGAAGTAATTTGCCTAAGGACTTGCAGGTAGCAAGTGGCAGAGGTGAGATTCAGCCGAAGGTCATCTGGCTCAGGAGCCTGGGCTCTTAATCACTTGCTCCTGAAACCCACTGTGTATCCGCAGGCGTGCCCATTCATGGTTTTAACAAACATATTTTCTCCTCTCATTTCAAGCACTCTACTATGTAGGCATTATTTTCTACATTTAATATGAGGAAACAGAAGCTTAAGAAAGTTATAGTAACTTGCCAAAAATCATGAGACCAGTAAATATAATTCAAACACAACTCTCTCTTAATTGTGAAATCTACATTCTTATACACCATTCAGTGTATAACTGACTGACTGACAAATGGAGAAAACCTTCCAATGAGTAATGTACTTCCTATGATGTCACAAAGTATAAAGAATATCACAAGGTCACAGAATTTCAGAGCTGAAAGGGGTCATATTTCAACTCACTAGTTTTACAGGTGGGGAACTGAAATCCATAGAAAGTAGACATGCCGCCACCTCACTGCAAGATCTCCTATATCCCCACCTATATATAGGTCAGTCCTCTCTAAAATATATTCTCTCCTCTTCCCTTTAGGTTAGATTTTCCACTTTAAATCATTTTAGAATAATGAAAAACCTTCAGTATTCCACAGCCTTTATTTATTTTCTCCAAAGCTTTATTTCAAAAAGCATTATCATTGATTGTCATCTTAGAAAATATAAAATCTACTTTCTAGAAGGGCATACAGCACAACATGTCTCAAACTTGACTTCAGGAACCCTAGGAATACAAAAATGGTAACAATTTATACCCAGAATCCCTGAAAACCCCTGCCCATTGTATGTCTGTGTTTATTGTTTGTCCTCTTAACTTGGACAAATGTAATCACCTAGGTCTTTGAGTCATTTCCACCCTCCGTTGGTTTTGGATACGCTCATCTATAAGATGCTCCAGATTTTTGGTTATCTGAGATTTGTTTGTTAAACTTTATTCAAAATGAACCTAGAAAAAAATAACTGAAGCTTCTTATAATATTAATATTAATATTCTGCAGGTTGGAAAAAATTTATAGCCCCATGAGCATAAAACAGTTATTAATTAGCAGCAAAGACATGTCATTTTCAATCTTATTCTTTCATGATGAAAATAATCACCACTTTTCCCTTTTATTTTTCAGGTAAGAAGTCTTATGTGCTCTTATTCACTGCAATGGCCATTAAGTAATATTTTTTAAGTGATACTGTCATTGTATGTTATTATTTTACAACAACCCTAAATGGGATAAATAGGGCATAATCCTTAATTTTCAAATAAGGAAAGTAAGGCTCAGAGGGATTAGGTGAAAAGACCAAAGTTAAAATAAATGCTAGTAAGTATAATAAGAACCTGACTCAAATTCAGAGCTGTTACGTGCAGCTTGTATCCTTAATGCTACATTAAATTGCGTCCTTTGTTTTATACATTTCTCTGCCATTCAAAATTATGAGTGTATATCTGTAACATTTGATGTTTATTTCAATGAGTAGTTATTTCAAAGTCTTTCATACAGATATGTTTTCTTTGATTAGAACTTGTTAAAAGTTCTCAACTCAAGAAAATTTGAATAAAGTCAACAGTTTTTATAATACCTTTAAACAATCACTGTTTTTATTTCTAATAAGAAAAGCAGACAATTTAAAGGGACAGCATTCTCAAACATTCAGTGCCACTTCCAAGTCCACACACACTTGCTACCGCAGGTAGAAAAATGTGTACAAAACATCACATTAAAACACTTTATCCTGAACTACCATGAATTCAGAGAACACAGTACTCTACACTTATTTCTAAAAAAACAGTTATACTCATTGATGGCCATGAGTAAAGATTATTTCCTTTTCTTAATAAAAAAGTATTGGCCGGGCGCTGTGGCTCACGCCTGTAATCCTAGCTCTTGGGAGGCTGAGGCGGGCGGATTGCTCAAGGTCAGGAGTTCAAAACCAGCCTGAGCAAGAGCGAGACCCCGTCTCTACTATAAATAGAAAGAAATTAATTGGCCAACTGATATATATATATAAAAAATTAGCCGGGCATGGTGGCGCATGCCTGTAGTCCCAGCTACCCGGGAGGCTGAGGCAGGAGGATCGCTTGAGCCCAGGAGTTTGAGGTTGCTGTGAGCTAGGCTGACGCCACGGCACTCACTCTAGCCTGGACAACAAAGTGAGACTCTGTCTCAAAAAAAATAAAAATAAAAAAAATAAAAAAATAAAAAAGTATTAAAAGTATAAATACTATATGGTTAAATATAAGGAATAGTTAATCTTGATGAAGGTTCTATGGCTATCGGTAGGTAAAGTGGCTCAGTGTTACAGCTGTAGATACAATTTAGAAAACAAGTTTTTCTTTTAGAGAGGTTGAAAGTTACTTCCATATAATAATCCTAAAATAGCTTTTTTTCCAAATGTGCACTGCTGATTTGTATGGATTCTAATGTCATTACTTGAAAATACAGAGAGAATACAGGTTCACTCTCACAAGGGTGTAGAGTGATCGCTCATCTCTCACCTTCCCAGTGTGCTATTTGGGGTGTGGAAAGGCAGTCCAGAGCCCCAGGGCTTAAAAACATGCAAAACAAGGCTTCCCCAGGGATGCTGCTTTATAACAGTCCAGAGGATTTTTCTCTACAAACAATCGATTAAGTATAGAGAAAAGGGGGGAGTGTAAAAGATGTTCTTTTTCCCCTTAAAGCAAATCAAGATAGTCAGTTTATATTTGGGTTTAAATAGAAGTCAATAACCATTGTGCACTACTCATTTCACTAGTAAATGATTTATTTTCCTATCATTCCCTACCATGCAGGCTTCAGTGCTTTATAGGTATACTAGTAATTTTCTTAAATTTAATAACTACACTGGGCTTACATATATCCCTTATAAAGTTGATGCAGGACTGGTAATAGGTTTACACAACAATTATAATTTATGTCATGCTGTTTTGTTGAAGAGAAGCTTAGCTTCTATTTGTAGCTTTAATAAGCTACTGTATGCTTCTTAATTGTATAAGATGTGGTGTTATGGGATATGTAAATTAAGAAATACTTTTATCAGGAAACCCCAGATGGTGTCTATTTGTAATATGTGCTTTCTTGAAATATATTCTTCTAGACAAAATTAGTTTTTAGATTAAAATATTAGGGAAGATTTACTGTACTTATAATCTTTTTTATTTTATACTTCAAATCCAAAATGTATAAGGTATTTGCCAGAGATTTACTATAACAACTAATGGAAACGATTTTCTAAGCAGAGATGGTAGTGATGCTGTACTTTTTAAAAATAATGACTTTATAGTTTTATTGAGATGATATATGTTTTTACAAAACTTCAATAACATAGAAAATTTACAGAAACTTTCATTTAAAGTAATCCAAATGTCATTTATCAGAAAGAAATAACCATCTTCAACACCAAGTAACCATCATTCCAGACATAGCCAAATGTCTATTAAGGGAGAAGAATGGATCAGAGAGATATATACATACATAAACCTTAATTATAGGAAATATTATAGAATTATAGGAAATATAGAATCAAATTACATATGATATTTTGATATTTAAATGTTACATTTTTTTTCTTGAATTTGACTAAAGAAAATATTGAAGTAAAAACTGGAGGAATTACTGAAATTCAAGTAAATATTTCTTGAACACAAAATATATTTTCTTTTCTACAAAGGCACTCTAAAGTTGAGAAGAAAATTGGAGGTTGGATTCTTATTTATTATATATTTCACTATTAGGTACTAGCTATTAACCCCATGCTACAGATATAAGGAAGTTAACTCACTGATATTTCTTCCAATATTGCCTTCTCACATCCCCATCACTGCCATTAATGTGTTTACAGTATCACAGTTTATAACATTTATATGTCACTATAATTTCTAAAGTTATTTTCATCCATAATTAGATGTATTCGATGCTCACCAACTGTCTTACAATCCGAGTTTCTTCATTCTTGAGCTATTGCTGTTGTCTCATTGTGTGTATATGTGGGCTGGGGGTTGTTTAAAGAAGGGCGCCAGGGTTTTATATTGTCTAGGTCTTTGTGTGCTTCAGAATGTCTTTCTGTTGATATTATATTTGACTGAAAATAAAACTTGAGTCATACTTTCCTTCCTTTACAACTATATAGAAATTGCTTCTTTGACTTCTGACTTTATGTGGAAACTGGAAGCCAACCTATATTTCCCCTTAAATGTAGCTCATGTTTTTCCCTTACATGTTCATCTAATTGAATCTTTCTTTATCCTTGGAGTTCAGGAAACAGTACCAAAATATCTCTTAGCGTTCATTGTTCTATATAAATTTTTCCTAGAACATAGTATGAACTTCAATTGTAAGATTCAAATATTTGCAACAATTTTCTTTTTATTTTTGTATTTTTTATTGATTCATTTTTTATGTTCAAACACCAATCATGTACAAGTTGTCCCTCTTTTCACTGTCTTTCATGTCTTTCAAAATTATAAAAATTTTATATTGTTCATATACTTTTCATTTTGTCAGATTTTTATACACCTAGTATATATGCTTCTGACATTGCTTTCAGTCAAGTTTATTCTATTTGTGTTGTTTCCATTGTGTCCCTTATTTCTGTCATGTTTTCAATTTCCATTTTCATTTTTATCCCTGAACTCTACTTACTCTATTTTCATCTTTTATTGTTATATACTCTCTTCTCTGAACTCTTTATTAGGATACATATTTCTTATAATATATGCTTTTTGTAGTTTTTTGGTTGTTTTTCTCTCCATATGTGAAAAAGAAAATGGTAGCTTTTATGCAGGGTAGATTTATCCATTGGTCCCATTCTGATCACTACTCATCTTTCATGAGGCTGCAACCAATCAAGTAGTACAACAGGGAGGGGAAGAGGAATGAGCTAGCTGGAAATTCACTGGTAAAATTAGCAACCATTATTTCAGCTTACTGACTCAATACCTTCTTTCCAAATATTTTTTTTCCTTAACATTAAAAGTACTTCTTCCCTCAGGTTTTTTAATTTAAGGACTCTGCATGGATCACAGCAAGTTCTCCTATAGCACAGTGGCTCCTACTTCTTCCGCCTTCTCCTCTGACAAGCTGCCTGGGCTTAGAGAATGAGTGATACATAATAGAATGAGGTGGTTGGCAGAAAGTCTCTCTGAGGCTTCCCTCTCCTACTGTTCTAGAATGTTGGGTGGGGTCTCTACAGGGATATTCTCTATTTTTCATATGCCCCCCCCCCGAAACCAGGTTCTATGTAATTAAAGAATCTCAAATATGTCTTTAGGGGAAATACATGTATTTCAAAAGTCTACGGCAGCAAGTGTCATCTCTCAGTGGGCTTGATTAAGTGGATATTTCAATATTTAGCATATGGACTTTATAATTTATTTGTATTATTGGGGTTGTAGAAGTTTGCTTGCTTCCTTGGAGATGCTATATTTTCTCTTCTCTTTGCTGTCTTTTATATTTTTAGTTGACTTTGAAGAAAGAGGGAAAAGAATAATGACTTTATAACAATATCT